TTTTTTTTTTCTTTTTTTACCTCCCAAAAGGGGGGCCGGGCCGGCCCCCCTAAATCCGCCCCTGATATCAGATCATGATTCTGAAAGGCATAGAGAGTATGCTGGACCACTTGTACATGTTTAGGTGAACAAATCAGAGAATAAAAACAATAACCAATAGATTTTTTTTGGATTGGCAATCACACATCTTCACATCTTAGCAAAAATCTCGGAAAGGTTCATTCTGTCTTTCTTCTCTTACAAATTCGTACAACACATTAACGATGAAAAGTTTATTTTTCAACTAGAATAGGTCGTCGTATAGCAAAAAATGTATATTGCAGGTTGGGTTAAAATGGAATTATCATTAACTGTACCAGCATATGGCTGACTACTGCTTTCCTCTTCCGCTGCATTGCAATTGTCTTCATCTGTTTCATCAGTACAATCAGTAAAACCATCACATTTCCAGTAGGCAGGTATGCATGTCACACCATCACACTGGAACTGACCTTCGATACAAACTCTAGGATACACTGCAATCAGAGCAACAATCATGTGGTGTTTTATAGTTTTCTTTTGTTCTTTTTTTGTTGTTTGTTGTTTTTTTTTTTGTAATAGGCCCCATTAGCTTCTCACAAAAACGTGTTTTGTTTTTTTTTTCTTTTAGCTGGCTCATATTTGATAATTCTAGGCCTACTTAAATTCTCAATCCTTGAGATTATTGTCCATGCAGCGTGAAGCTACTCTTCTGAAGCTCTGTCAGACTATCACACTTCATATGACAAATAATGTAATATGTCCATATTTGGGTGTAATGTGTCAAGTATAAAGCATGATTTACACTAGCACGCTTCAAACGTAAACGCAAGGGTTGGCATAAACACAAGCCGCTGCATTTTACAACTGTTCCATTCTCAATCTTAAGAAAAAATGTTTAGGTGCATCGAGGCTTGTGGAAGATAGGCATAGGTTACGTCAACCAAGTTTTTATGTTTGTGTCTACGTTAGCATACATCTAATATCAAATGGTTACCACTGAAAACCCACTGTAGTGATTGACGTAGGGGTAACGTTTCTTTCGCTTGGTTCAAAGCATTTTTGGTTTTCTATTTTTTCTTTTCTTTTAAATCTCATTCAACAGCAGGAAACCCGCCACTTACAAAATAGAGTTTATGATAAATACTATTTAATAAAATAAAATATTAAAATACTTTAAACAATCTTAGTAATTTTTCTAAAAAAACATTTAAACTATAAACGACATTTATCAGTAATCAGACCTGCATTATATATTAGTCACTTATAACAGGTTGTTATAAGATTGTGTTAGCTTATGACAGATAAGAAAAAACTGAATCGTACTATTGTGATAATTTCAAATCATGTCATAATTGTAAAAATAAAAGTATCACAGAAAAATAACATACTTGTTGGCGTTGGTGCAAGTGTTGTTGGAACTTGGCAAACTTCCATTGGATCTTCGTCCGAGCCATCTTTGCAGTCCTGGTAACCATCGCAAAGAAATAGTCGGTTGATGCATTCGTTAACATCCCAGCACTGGAATGCGTCTGCCCCACATTCATCTATATTGTCGCCTACTTCTGTAAATTTGGAAAGAAAAACAGATATCGAAATGCCATATTACATAGTTCGAATATTGAAAAAATATTTTCTGGTATAAGAAGAAACCGTGTAGATATTTGCTGTCTATGAGTCATGTCTTTGAGAACAATTACCCAGATAAGACGCCTTAGCTTTACCGTATACATTTTTTTCTACAAGATCAACATACCTAATAATAGAAATCTTACCGCAATCTTTTTCATCACTTTTATCTGTACAGTCATTATTACCATCGCAAACTTTGGTTTTATCGATGCACCCGCCTCTTGAAACACACTTATATTCTGTACCTTTACATACTGGAGACAAGAAAGTAGGGTACATTTCACATAAATCAGATTACAATCTCTATATAAACTCGCTACCGGTGCTTTAATATGAATTTAATGGTTTTCCAATGTTCGCACAAGAAGTTATATGTAAATTAGATTACTTTTTTTACGGGAACGCATAATGGATCGGTTTACGTCCTAAATACAAGAAAAGATCTGGTCATCTACAAATTAAATGTTTCTTTTTAATTAAAAAAAAAAGGTTAATAATTTTTAAAACCAACGATGTGATAACGCTATCAGATTAGAAAGATGCGTAGGTAACATACATCTTATACTGAATGAATGGGTAACTTGTTTTTCCAAACAATGCTTGGCTTACCACAGTCATTTTCATCGGCTCCGTCATAACAATCAACCACTCGATCACACTCTTTTGAATCTGCAATGCATGCTCCATAAGAACTCCCATTACTACACCGAAAAAAGCCTTCATTACAAGCCCCTAGAAATAAAAATAAAACATCAATAAGTATCTATTTTATAGTGGAGGCGGTTTGGAGCAGTGGAAATGGTTTGGATTCCCAAACTTGAGGTCGGGGTTTCTATTCTTCGCTGTGTATTCCACTTCTGCCCTTGAGCAAGACACTTTATCTACATTGCTAAAGTCTACCAAACTGTATCAATGGGTACCAGCGAATTGCTGGAAATAACCTGCGGTGGACCAGGGGGAGCATCACGCTCTCATCCACTTCACGCTACTTGAAACTTTTTTTTTCTTTTTTTTTTATAATTGAAATTTAATTTCACACAAAACAGGACATAACAAAACAAAAATATCTCTTAGATAAAGTCGGTAATAATGCTTAATTTCGGAAATTATTTAAGACAAGACAACATAAGTCAGAAAGGAAAAAATAAATTTGGGTACCTATCATATATATATATATATAT